CATTTTTCCTGTAGAGATTTTTAGATAAGGTCTTAACTAATTAGTGTCTTCTAATAATTTCTAAAAGTCATTTAAGGTCTTGAGGCAATCCTTTCATATTTCTGCTTTCTGAAGCTTAATTCAATGATTTTTAAGTACAGTTCCTAGGTATTTGAAGGGCATTTCCCACTGTATTTTTTTTCCCAGAGCAATCTCTAAGCTACATTTAGGGAGTTTGTTTTAAAAACTTACTTTCTTTCAAACAGAACCACCAATTTGGTTGCTTTTCAAAAGAACCAGTAGGAGAGAGACATGCTGGCCAATACTGTAATGCATATATCTCAAATAAAAGTAACTTTCTTTTTCTTCATGGTGTCTCATTAATGATGAGATTTAATGCCCAAATAATAAGTGTTAGTTTACTTTGTAAATAGTAGTGGAAGAGATTTTAAAATTTCTCATTTTTAAATTTACTTTTAAACAGTATTTTTTGTAAATTTTACTGTGGACTTTGTTAGAACCAATTGTTTATATGTGTTTAAATAGAACATTTATTAACTTTTATCTGATAAAGCTTCCCACGTGATTTCAAGTATATTAGATTGGCCTAATTTAGTTTAAAAATATTTTTTAAGAGGAGAGAATAAATCCTTGAATCATTCTAGGGCCCTTGAAATTTCCCAAAGTTATCTCTTGAAATTTAACTTAGAAAGACTATCAAATATGCATAACCCAAAGATTATATTATATACTTTTTGTAATTAAAAGGCATCAATTAAATTCAAACTGGCCTTAGCATTAAAAATTTGGTTTAGTCCATAGAATTAATCCTTATCCTCTAATTAGGCCAACAAAATACTATTTCCTAGGTTGAAATTTCATCACACGCAATACATGTAAGGCCATAATATGCTCCAAACCAACAATCTCTCCAGAGAAAACACAAGAACCATTCCTGTCAAAGATGAACCTCCACACCCCATGGGCTGTGCCATCACAACCATATAATTCCTCCCAACCTCACCTGAACTCCAAACTCCCAGAAGCCTCAAACTCTTGCCGGCAAGCCAAACACCTAGCGTTTCTCAGACTATCAACATATCCACATCTCTAAGGGTATATTTAAACCCAACCCCCCCCCCCCCACACACACACACACACACAAGGCACATTAAATTAAATAGATTTAATTATATTCTCTAGATCAGGGGTCCTCAAACTTTTTAAAGTGGGGGCCAGATCACGGTCCCTCAGAGAGCTGGAGGGCCGGACTATATGAACTACTAATTCCTACTGTAACACCTCGGCTGCGCTCACTGCCCAAAAAACCTGGCGGGCCGGATCAGACTCCTCTGCAGGCCGCATGTGGCCCGCGGGCCATAGTTTGAAGACGCCTGCAGATTTTTCATATGAGGAAACTTAATTTGATATTTCAGTATTTTGTTTTTTGATATTTAACAATTTTTTAAATTTAGCAATATTCCAAAGTCTTTAAGTTACCAAGGACTTTGAAAAATTATGTAGAGGCATGGCAAAAAGGCAGGGGAAGGAGGGAGCATACCCATAGCTGCCTGAATGCAAAACTGCCACATTTTTCCTTATTGCTGTGGTTTTCCTGCTTTTATATGAAGAAATGTGACTGAACCTTTATCAATTTTGAGATTTTAAAGCCAATTATTATTATCTAAGGCATTTTCTTTGGCAAATTCTGTAATAGAAATAACTTACTGACTTTCAGTGGCTTTATTATTTTATTTTATTTTCATTTATAAAAACAGGAGTGCCTAGGACCTATGAGAAAACCTTGGAACGTGATTCATTATTATTCAAGAACTACCCATTATCATGGAAACAATAATCTTGTTGCCTAAATATAGCCTGTATATTTTTCTTGTGCCATTTTTTGCCATCTTTTAAAGAAAAACGGTCTTGGGGTTTATTCTAAAGCATCCATGAAGAGATATGGGGCTCAGTTCAAGTGGCACCCAAAATTGGGTAGGGCCTGCCATTTCTCTTAATCTAGCCTTTATCTCTTCACTAGTACAGAAATCCTAGATATATCCCTAAATTGTGAGAAATGTCTCATCTATCCAAATTTTAAATAACAGACTGGGAAATAAAAAAATGGCAAAAATGAGACTTTTGATAACATTCTTGGGAGGGAGTGGGTATTCATTTTACAGGATCACCAAAAGACTAGTCAATGGATTGGGGTCTTTTTTAGTGACTTCATTCTGTCTAGGGATTTTTCCTAGAACCTATGTCATCGGTCACATGTATTGTTTATATTTTTTCTCTCCCCATTCCCACATTTTGTTTGCTCTGGGAAAATTTACAATAGTAATGGTCTGGCCATCTACTGTTTCTTTAAAATTACATTAAAGGCATGCTTAATAGACTAACAATAAACAAATTAAACCAAACAACAAACAGATAAAACAACAACCAACAGGCAAACACCCACAACACATAGATAGGACTTAATAAATTAGAGTTCTTTTCATGGATGGTTCAGATATATATATATATATTGCCTGGGACTTACAGGCAGAATGCAGCCTAGATCTCAGCCTGTTGATCACAGATCTTATCATATTCTGCTCTCTATAGCATTGATTGGCTTCTAAAGTTATTTTTGCTAAAATCTACCTGTCCCAAGGAGTCATATGGTAACTTTCAGGCAAAGCATTGAAGAGTCATTTTGTAAGATGACTGTTAGTTCCATTTTCTCTAGCTGTTGAGCCTTCCCACACTAGAGGCAGAGGATCCGAGGCCTTCGGTGTTACAGACTTTTGATGCTCAACACAAAATGGGCATAATCCAGTTCAGACAAGAGCCCACACAGTTAAAGATAACAAGGGCACTCATTTTCCTTGAGCCTGATTTAAGAAAGTATTTTTTGACACCTTAAGAATTTGCATTGTTTTAAATATCCCCTTTCCCCATGTTTTATGCCTAGCTATTAAGCTATTACTAAACTGTACTCCTTACCTTACTTTTTTCTTTCTGCTCGTGCTTCACTTGAGTGTCCTTTCATCTTGTAATTGTAGTTACCGCATACTCAGGCCCCATGTTGGGTGCCACATGTGCCATGCCAGCATGGCCAAGGGTGAACCTAAGGAGGGGCAGTGAAGGATTAAAGCAGACAGACAAAGTGAACACAGATGGGGCCAGTGGATCTCCCATGCCTGGATGAGGACACAGAAAAATCCAGCTGACAAGCTGAAGCTTTATTTTATACTCAGAGATAAGCAAGGAATGGCCAACATAGTTACATGTTCTTGTGAGTTTCTCTTGTTTTGGCAGCACTCGCTGCACCTCCCATGAGCCCCTTAGCTATTTAGGAGGGGATTAGGAAGGGCTATAAGGTCAGGCTTAATTATGTAAGTAGTGCTCTGCCCTTCAGGCTAGGACTGGCTAATCCAAGACTTAACCTTATAGCTGCTCCCTATAGACCAGACTTTTCCAGAAGTTTTCTTGGCTTTTAGGACATTTCTGGTTCCCCTTCCATTGCCTGGTGATGCTCAGTGTCCTCCACAGGAGTTCTTCTTCTGTGCATCTCTTTAACGTGGGTGTTCCCAAGACTGTTCTTGTCTACTCTGTCTTTGCACCTCGTTGGCCTCAGAGCTGACCTCTGCCACTTCACACCTGTGAAGCCACATCCATGTTAACATAATGTAATATTTTCTTATATTATTTGAAAATATCATGTTTTCATATATTTTTATTGATTTCAGAGAGAAAGGGAGAGGGAGAGAGTGATAGAAATATCAATTATGAGAGAAAATCATTGATCAGCTGCTTCCTGCATACTCCACACTGGAGATCTAGTCCACATCCCAGGCATGTGCCCTGACCAGGAATTGAACTGTGACCTCCTTGTTCATAGGTTAACACTCAACCACTGAGCAACACCAGCTGGGTGAGAATATTAATTTTTAAAAGGTATCCTTATTGTTCAAAGAATTACATATGCCCCCCTTTTCCCCCCTTTGATCCCCTCCACCCTGCATTCCACCCACCCCAGGCCTACCACACTACTATCTATGACCATGGGTTATGCATAAATGCATATAAGTTCTTTGGTTAATCTCTTCCTACCACCCCCTCCCCCACCTTCCCTCTAAGATTCATCAGTCTATTGCATGTCTCCATGTCTCTGGATCTACTTTGTTCAGGTAATTTTGTTCATTAGAGTCCACATATGAGTGAGATCAGGTGATACTTACCTTTTTCTAACTGACTTATTTCACTTAGCACAGTACTTTTCAGGTCCCTCCATGATGTGTCAAAGTGTAAGAAATCCTTGTTTTTTACAGCTTCATGTTATTCCATTGTGGAGAATATTTTAAGACAAATTCATTATGCCATTCTTCACATATAATCAGCCTCAAAATTGGTCATATACACTGAGTTGCCAGATTATTATGATCTCTGAATGCATAATAATCTGGCCACTCAAAAATACACACACACACACACACACACACACACACATACACACATACACACACACACACACATATTAGAGGCCTGGTGCATGAATTAGCGCACCAGGCCAGCTTGGCCAGGTGGTTGGTCCACCTGCCTGCTGGGAGAACTCCTGGTTGAGGGGACAATTTGCATATTAGCCTTTTATTATATAGGATATACACTGAGTGGCCATATTATTATGCGTTAAGAGATCATAATAATCTGGTCATTCAGTGTATAAGAGAAGCAGAGTCACTTAGTATTCAGAACACTGGTGATGGCGCTGGGTTTCCTGAGTTTGAATCCTGTTCTTTGCTACTTACCAGTCCTGTGTCACTGGGCAAACTGTTTAACCAATCTCTGTATTAGTTTCTCCATCTGTAAAATGGGGATAACACAAAATTTATGTTATAGGGCTGTTGTGAGGATTAAATGAAATAAGAAACTTAATAAACGTGCACTATTGTTATTTTTGTAAAAAAAAAATCACTAGTTTTCTGTTATTAGCAAAAACACATGAATATGTTTTCTGTTTTTCTTATGTCTAGATCTGGATGTGTGGAGGCCAGCTGTTTATACTGCCCTGCTCTCGAGTGGGACATGTTGACAGACATATCACCCAAAATATAACCCAAATTATCAAAGCCTTGAGATACAACAACCTCAGACTGGTGCATGTCTGGCTGGATGAATACAAGGTAAAGGGTGCATCTCTGCTTTGAATAGATGAACATACACTGTGGGACTTGCCCTGAAGAAGTCTTTATTGCCTTTCCAGACAGCAAGTTTTTTGTTTATTTGTTTGTTTTAAATATATTTTACTGATTTTTCACAGAGAGGAAGGGAGAGAGATAGAGAGCTAGAAACATTGATGAGAGAGAAACATCAACCAGCTGCCTCCTACACACACCCCTCCCACCCCACCAGGGATGTGCTGGCAACCAATGCACATGCCCTTGACCGTAATCAAACTTGGGACCCTTCAGTCCCCAGACTGAGCTCCATCCACTGAGCCAAACCCGTTTCGGCCAGACAGCAAGTTTTGTTCTTTCCTCAGTTTTCCTTAAGTTAGCAGTGTCCCTCCCACCGCTCAGCCACTCGTCTCCAGACCCTGTTCTCAGCTGTTGATCCGAAGCTGCTACACTTGCACCTGACTTTTATTTTCCAGGGAAACTCGCGTTTCTCAGAAGGGACTCAGCCAGCACAGGAGCGTTTTATCGATTTGTTTGTTTGTTTGTTTGTTTAGCGTAGGTCTTTTGGCCCCTTGCCCTCCAAGGACTGCCCCCTGAAGCAAATACTCTCCCTGCTCTCATCTCCACAGGCAACTCTCAGATCTCTTCTTCCCCGCCTACGTTCCAATTGTGTGGCTGCTGATCTGGGGACTGTGCAAGTCTTCTTTTCAATCCTCATCCAAGGATATGTTTTTATTGATTTTACAGAGGGAGGAGGGGAGAGAGAGAAAAGAGAAAAGAGATGTGAGAGAGAAACATTGACTGGCTGTTTCCCGTACGTGCCCTGCCGGGGACTAGAAATTGCAGCCTTTGGTGTATGGGATAGTGCTCCAACTGACTGAGCCACTGGGTCAGGGCCGTGTGGAGCTCCATTTTTTCCATAAACAGTCAAAGATTTCTGTACCAAAGCCTCACCCCTTCATGTGTGCATGTCCCCAAGTGTAAGCCCCTGCCAGGACCTAAATGGGTGCACGTACAGAGACTGTGGTGTGGCTCCATTTCAATTTAAAGATCGTTCATCCAGAATCCCTGCACAGCAGACATGGACAGAATCCTCAACAAGACCCCCCTCAGGTACACGGGTAGAAATGTGTAAGAATCTCTCTGCGATATTATATGCCCTGGTCTTGATCTAATATTTCTTTAATTTATTACTTAAAGTTATGAAAGTAGTAATACTCAATTTCCTTAGCAATCAGGGCACTGTGAATGAAAACCTCAGGCAGGGCCCTGGCCAGTGCGGTTCAGTTGGTGGAGCATTATTTCATACACTGAAAGATTGAGTTGAATCCCCAGTTGGGGCACCCGCCCAGGTTGTGGGTTCTATCCCTGGTTGGGATGTATACAGAAGGCAACTGATAAATGTTTCTCTCCCACATTGATGTTTCTCTTTCTTTCCCTCTTCTTTCCTCTCTCTCTAAAATCAATGAAGAACATATCCTTGGGTAAGGATTAAAAACAACAATAATTCAGGGAGATATTTATAATTTAAAATCTGATAGGACCAAGTGTTAGCAAGCAACAGGAATTCTCGACAGGGATGGTGGGAGTGCTTATATCACAAGCTCACTTTGGAAAAACAGTTGGGAAACATTAAGTAAAAGATATGACTATCCCATGATCCAACTGTTCCAGTCTATAGAAATGCGTGCTTTTGAGTACCAGAACACATAATAAGAATGTTTATAAACAGCACTATTTATTTGCCTCAAATGAATATAGCACAAACACTCATCAAAGGTAGAATGGATACAGTTCATATCCGGGTGCCCCCTCCAAAAAAAAAAAAGTAGAATGGATAAATGTGATATATTTAATTGCTATAGTAGCGGAAATCAACCAACAATAGATACAACAGTATAGGTAAATCTTAAAGACATAATGGAGAACAAAAGCAGCCAAATACAGTAAAATATAGTATACATAATAAAAGAGTAATATGCAAATTAACTATCACTCCACTATACCCACAAGCCATGCCCACTAGCCACACCCACCAGCCAATCAGAGCAAGTATGCAAATAAACCCAACCAAGATGGCTACAGCCACAGAGAGCAGGAAGGAGGCTTGGTTTCCCAGGCAACAGAGGAAGCCGTGCTTTCTACCTGGCTAAGCCTCCACTCAAGGCTACAAAGTTTCAATTATAGACGGAAAACAAATCCAAACAGAAATGGCAGCAGCCGCAGAGCAAGCAGGAGGCTTGGCTTCGCTCCAGGCTACAAAGTTTCAGTTGTAAAAGGTAAATATATCCCAGATACCAGGACCTGTGCTTGGGTTGCTTGGGGGGCATGGCTGGCCTGCAAACCACCACAGGCCCCTCGCTCAGGCCGCCCCATGCCCCAAGGGAACCCCACCCTGATCCGGGACACCCTCAGGGCAAACTAGCTGGCCTCCTCTCGTGCACCAGGCCTCTATCGTATCTAATAAAAGAATAATATGCAGATTGACCATCACTCCAACACATAAGATCAAGATAGCTGCCCCCCTGTGGTCAAAGATCCTGCCCCTATGTGGGCACAAGATGGCCAACACAAGATGGCCAGCAGGGGAGGGCAATTAGGAGGGACCAGGCCTGCAAGGGAGGGCAGTTGGAAGAGATTAACCCTGCAAGGGAGGGGCAGTTAGGAATGACCAGGCCGGCAGAGGAGGGAAGTTGGGGGCAAACAGGCTCGCAGGGGAGCAGTTAGACATCAATCAGGCTGGCATGGGAGTGGTTAGGGGGTGATCAGGCTGGCAGGCAGAAGCAGTTAGGAGCAATCAGGAAAGCAGGCAGGCGAGCAGTTGGGAGCCAGCAGTCCTGGTTTGTGAGAGGGATATCCTACTGTCTGGACATCCCTCAAGGGGTCCCAGATTGGAGATGGTGCAGGTTGGGTTGAGGGACACCCCCTCCCCACCCCCGTGCACAAATGTCATGCACCGGGCCTCTAGTTTTTCTATAAGTTAAAATAGGTAAAATTAAACCATATAATCTATATATGCATATTTAGATACCAAAGCTAGAAAGAAAAAGCAAAGAAGTGACTCCATAATCAAGAAGGCATCGAAAACTAAGAGAGAGGATGCTTCCAGGAAGGGGGAGGCCAGGGGCTTCTGGGATGCGAGTTATGTCCTATTTCTTGACCTAGTCAGCATTACCAACATTGATTTTTCAATAATCCATTATGCATTTATGTTTTATGAATTTTTGGTATGTATTATATTTCTTGATTAAAAAAAAAAAACATGATTCACTTTAAAAAGGCACTTAGTACTAGAGAGGATGAAGTAAAATGTAAGCTTTCTAAGCCCAGAGTTCTACCCCTGAATTAATCTCTAAATTATGCTGCTTATAGTTTCTTGGTAACTGTGTGCTCTGATTGTTGATTTTTTTTTTTCCTGTGAACTCCGATCACAGATTTAAATAGTTGACTTGATCACAGCTAGGATCGGGTTTATTGAATGTCACAGAGGGTATAATGACAAAAAGTTCCTCTAACTTAAAAAGAATATGATGTTTGGCATACTCAATGGACTGTATGCGACAGCACACGGGAACCTCAGTGAATGACACTGGATAAGAGAAGGCTTCCAACAGGGTGATATTGCCTAAGGACTTCTCTGTTTTCACTCCAAAATGAAATTATATGACACCCCTCCCCCACCCTTAGGCTCACTCACCCCCTGCATCAACCACCCCGGGGAGCTAGGCAGTGACAAGAGAAGATGGCAAAGACCTCCAGTGGCCAAGGGTCCCTGGGAGAATCCAACATGGCATGCCCAAAATATGCTAATTTAAATGAGCAAGCTCCTCTCATTGGACACTGGGCACTGGGAATACACAGGAAAACACAAGGAGGCTTTGAGCTACTTAGAATACTATTTTTAATATGAAGCAGTTTGGTGCGTTAGATATTCATCCTTGGGGCTTCCTTCAATCAGAAAGTGTAAAAGGCTAACGGGGTATGGTAATAACAGTGGCCGACACTGACATGACACTACTAGCTTTCATCTCCCCAGGGCTTTGTGTGTATTAAAGTGTCCAGTCCTCACAACAACCTCGTGAGGATAGGGGCCAAGGTTACCTAGTTAATAAGTAGCAGAACCAACCAATATTTAAACCCAGGCTGTCTTCCTCCAGAGTCTGTTTGCCTTGAGCTACCACATCGTCCCCATTTCTGAACCCAAGACAGTGCTGGTTGGAAGGGGGCAGGGAGGGCTTTTTGTCCGTGAGTCTCACTGAGACAGTAAGGGAGAGGGGGTATGCCCTACCTCTGCCATGATCCATCACAGCACATATTGTGCATATGTGTGGGGTAAGTCCCAGATTCTGTGTGTGTTCCTATACAGAGGAAGTTTGAAGGTGTTTGTTTTTTTTTAATTGTTTGTAAAGTTCTTGTGATGTCATGATTTGATGACCAAAGATTGTTTTGGTTTAATGAGACTCTTCATTTCCATTTAGGAGCAGTTTTTTTTACAAAGACCTGATCTGAAGTCCGCCCCCTATGGAAACATTAGTGAGCGTGTTGAATTAAGGAGACGATTGGGCTGCAAATCATTTCAGTGGTATCTGGATACTGTCTTCCCAGAACTGGAGACATTGGATGAAATGAAAGCAAATAATCTTCATCAATAAAGGGTTAAAAAGTCCCCTCGGCCTTCAACACAGAGAAGAGCACAAATTGGGAACATGGTGACATTATATGAAATACAGCCAGAGTGGTCTTCAACAGGACTCCTTCCTTGGTCCTTTAACGATAGCCCTTGTCAGTCATCGGCCACCCAATCCCTGGGTGGCAGGACCTTGAACACTGGAAATGTATGCTGTCGATTAGCTGAGACTCTGTCACATAATCATCTCCAGTCGTTTGCTAACTCACTTGGTCCTGGGAGCCCTGGGAGCCTTTGCCAACTCTATTTCTACTCCAGAAAGGCGGCCTGACCCCGTGGTCTTCCCACAAAGATACTCCCAGAGGCCTTGGTTGGTAATACTCACTTTGGTTCCTTTCTTGCTGCCAACGTCGATAATGGCATTGGCACTTTGCTTAGTGGGATTCCTGAGTTTCTGATGTCCAGTCCACTTGCCTGGTGTCCCCGTCCAGCTCCCATTTGTTCCCATCTGTCCCATCACTTGGAGACACTTTTGATTTTGCCTTTTTCATGTCTCTTCTCCTTTAACTCTGGCCTATAGCTCTCCTGACACTTCTTCAGCTGCGGGTCCTGTTGATAATCTCTGTTCTGACTCGAGAACTGCTTAACTGGGATCGGGGAAGCAGCAGCTAGGGTCCAAGTCTGTCCTGTGTGAACACACTCGCAGATGTCCATAGGACTTCCCTCCGGTACAGGGGATGTCTGTTGCATCCATCTGGTGCAGGTGGCTGGGAAAGTGAAGTATATTTAATTCACAAAGACAAAGAGAATGAGAAACTAAGGGAAGGAATACACTGAAAGGAGTAAAAAGGAATGGGGAAGACTTAGGACAGGACCACTAAACATAGCCCATGCTGGAGAAGACATAAACTTTTTTTTTTTAATATCTTTATTAAAAACATCAGTGATGAGAGAATCATGGATTGGCTGCCTCCTGCACGCCCCTTACTGGAGATCAAGCACGAAACCTGGGCATGTGCCCTGACCAGGAATCGAATTGTGACCTCCTGGTTCATAGGTTGATACTCAACCACTGAGCCAAGCACATAAAGTGTTTTTTACAATAATAAACAGCTGGGCTCATCCATTCTGCTCATTCAGTCAGTGATTGAGCTAGTGGTCATCCCAGGCCCGGAGTCTCCGAGGTGCTGGGGTGCAGCAGAAATGGCGCCGGCAAACACCACTCCCTCCTTGAAGCTTGTGTTCTTTGAGATAATAAAGGCAATGTAAAGAAAAAGGAACCTGTGTACAATGTCTTTATACTGACATATTTAGCAAAATACTCTATAAATTCTGTTGCAAGAAAGACATGGGAAAAGCCTGTGCTCATCTGTATCAGACTTTAAAAGGTTAATCTAGCAGTACAAAATAAGTACAAAATAAGCAGTACAAAATTATCATTATATGCTTGGCCCATATTTTATACCTAGTAAAAGATGGATTATAATGGACCCACAAATCTGTTAAAATTAGAGTAAAATACAAAATAGAAATTCTATAGCAACAGGAAAAAAATAGTAGAAATATAGAGCATCCTCTTAAATTTTCTAGTTTTAAAATTTAAGAATTTTTTTTAAGTATAATGAAGGAGGATGTAACTATTAGCTCGCAGAAAGAAAAAGTCAAATGTTCTTATAGAGCCCTGGGCCTAATATTCAGTCAGCTTTCTAATAATTTAGTTCAATCACTAGACATCATTTCTAGTTCTTCACTAGAAATGTTGCTTAATAACAATCTCTTGATTACTGATTCAGTTGATTCTGGAATAGAAAATAAATTCGAATCAACATCCAGTTGTTTGGTGTGATTGGGAGGAAATATCCAGTTATTTGGTGTGATTGGGAGGAAATATCCAGTTATTTGGTGTGATTGAGAGGAAATATCCAGTTATTTGGTGTGATTGGGAGGAAATCCTTACTTGCTGGGAGGTGACAACTTTTTGTTTTCGTAAGGGAATTTAAAGTCTGAATTGTATTCTGCAGCTACAGTAGTAGAGAAGTATCTCCTAATCTGCTCAAGGCTTTTCACAAAACACCGTTTTTTTGGTTTGACCAAAGACTGAGACAAGCCCTTCTAGTAAATTAAGCCAGAGTTCTATAACAAAGGCATACTTCTAGGAATTTATCCTAAGACGCACCAGTATGAAATAATTAAAGAGTTAATATTTACTGAGCATTATCTTTCATACACTTGGTATGTACTCTCTGCATGGATTATCTTTCAACGACAGAACTTTATGATATAGGTCCTTTTATTGTTATTCCTATTTCATAGATGAGAAAACTAATGTTAGAAGTTGCCCGAGATTAGGGTGGCAAGATTTAGCAAAAATACAGGATGCCTGGTATATGTGAATTTTGGACAAACAGTAATACTTTAGTATAAGTATGTATGCTTATAGTACAAAATTATTGTTTATCTGAAATTCATGTTTCAGGCCTGTATTGCATCTGGCAATTGTAAGGCCAAACTAGCACAGTCCGTACACTCGCTAATCACCCCAATCTCAAAGACCCCGGGTTTAACCACAATGCTGCTCCACGGGCATTTTAGCGCCAACTGAGCTGTTGGTAAAATGCAGGTTTTGATGACTAAGCAGGTCCGCCAGGCTTGACATCCAAGATTCCGTGTGTGGTCAGGCGAGGCCAATGTGGCTGCACGTGGCTGTCGCCCCGGGCGCTTCCGCTTCACTCCCGGGGGGCTTTGGACCCAGCTTCCCCGTGGACGCTTAACCCTCACACTCCGGCCAGCATCTCGAATTTATCACAAGGGGCGCTGACCATCCTTTCCTCTGCTCACGGACAAAGCTTTTTATTAGAGGGAAACCCAAACAGCGCCCGGACCGACCACGGGTGCGGGGCCGCGCGAGGACTGCCCACGTGGGGCCGCGCGCCCCCCGGCGGCGTGACGTCACCCGCGCGGCGCGGGCGCGGCCTCCGCTCGCAGCCGGGGCGCGCGCTCGCCAGAGTCCAGGCAGCCGCGCCGGCGCTGGGCGAGCGCCCGAGGCCTGGGCGAGCCCGCGGCCCCTGCGGCGCTCGGCGCTGCGCTTTCCCCCGGCGGTTCCGAACTGCGGCGGCTGGTAGCGGCTGCACCTGGGCTGTGGCGGGAGGGAAGATGCCACAGCCCGAGTCCCAGGAGGCCGGAATCCTGCGTTGCCGGCGCCGCGGTGAGTAGCGCGCGCCGGCGGCGGCGGCAGACCCGGCGCGGCCACCGTCCCCCTCGGCGCCTCACGGAGCGTTTCCGGCGCGCGGCCCCGCGCGGGCCCGGGGGCTGCAGCCGCGGCCGCGCTCTCCGCGGCGCCGGAGCGGCGGGCCAGGCGTCCGGCGCGTGTGCGGCCGCTGAAACCCGAGCGCGGCTCCTCCGGCGGCGGGGGCGTGGACCGAAGAGGCTCGGGAGACCGCGGCGCCCGCCCCGAGCGACTTCCGGTGGGGCTGGCGCTCGGCGCCGGGGGTGCGGGTCGCGCCGGGGTCGCGGTCGCGGGGCCCGGGGTGCCGGACGGAGCCCGGCGGCGCGGAGGGATCGCGGAGAATTCCCCACTAAACCGGAGCGATCGGATAACGGGACCCCGGGCGGCGTTCACATTTCCCCAAAGTCACAAAGAAAAGTTACTGTAGTGTGTGTTTTACAGCTGCTTCGTGCCGCCGGCCACCGGAGGCCCTCGGTTGAGGAGCCTCCTAACTTTCCCTTTTCCTTTCCTGGCTGTGTGCTTGGAGACGTCGGGTGGTTCGTGTTGTACAGTTTACCGCCTTCTCCCAGCTGTGCTGCTCGGAGGCTGTAAAACACAGGCCCGCGCAGTTCCGATGGGCTTCCCCCTGGAGCACTCTGCCCTGCTAGCGCTGTTTTTGTCATCGAGTAGCTGGCCCGGCCTTCTGTTGTGAAGACATCTGGCTGGTTTTCAAAATATAAAATTAAACCGTGGCTTTGAGTAGCTGTTTATACTCCCGTGCACCCGGAGACACTGGGGTGCTGCTCTCCTCCCCCAAATCACAGCTTTAGACGAGACTTTTTTCCCCCCACCCCAATTCTTCCCTTTTATTTAGAAATAGCGGATGTCGAGGTAGAAAAGCAGAAAACACAACCTGCAGTCATTACGTATACAATTGAGCCTCTTGAGGGAAATGTCATGAAAAAGCAGATCACGCTTTTCACATCTTCCCTGGACAATTTCGGTGCTGTTCCTTGCAACTTGTAAACTTCACAAATGTACAAATACATCATTTTAACCACTGTGAGTGTACAACTCAGACGCATTAAGTGCATGGACAATCCTGTGTCACCATCACCACAGTGTATTTCCAAGCTTTTCATCCCCCCAAACAAACGGTAGCCAGTAGCAGTAACTCCCCAATTGCCTCCCCATTTTGTCGTTTGCCTGTGCTGGACACCTCTTAGAGGAGTCATGCAGTATTTGCCCTTTTGTGTCTGACTGTTAAGGTTCAAAGTCCACCGATGTCACTGCACACTGGAGACTTCATTCCTTGTTCGTACTCGGTTGCCTCGCGGTATCACGATTTGCTTCTCCATTTATCTGTTGGCGGGCACGGGTTGTGTCCACCTTTTGGCTCCTATGAATAATGCTGTGAATATATGTTTACAGGTACGTTGGAGTCTGTTCTTTGGGGTAGGAAATGCTGGGTCATATGATAAATTTATGTTTAACATTTTTTAATCCTCGTGGGAGGGTATGTTTAGAGGGAAAAAAACATGGCTTGTTCTAGAGCTGTGGAAGTCAATGGAGAGGAGGGTCTGCCCTTGCCAATTTGACTGAACCTGGGACCTTAAGGGGGAGAGGGAGACATGCATCAGTGGCCTCCCCTTTTCTCCCTGACTGGGGATCGAACCTAGTGATGTGTCCTGAGTGGGAATCAACCTGCAGGGCCAGAAGCAGCATACAGCAGGAGACGGGATGATCAGCTGAGCTCTACCAAGCTCTTCACATCTTGAAACTGCTATCTTAAAGGCCCTCTGCCTTACTAATTGCAAAGTCTGATGACCCCCACCTTAACGCCCTCGGGTTGACCTCTCTAAATCTTTGGGACACCGTGTTGTTGGTTAGAGCGCCCTCTGGAGGTTTCACTTGGTGATTCTCCTCAGGTCAGTGCTTGCTCCCTAATCCATTTTTGCTCTCTTCATTTCTTAAACCCTCCTCTATCCATTAACTTAAACTATAATTTTGATGTTTATTGTTAACTTCTCTCTGTGAATTTCAAACTATGGGCATGTCAGTGTTCTCTTGAGTGCCAAAACCAAACGCACTTGTTAACCCTCCCAAACCTGTTCTCTCCATGCTTCCTGTCATTAAGACTTGAAAGCTGGTGTTTTTATTCCCCCTCTCCCTTAGGGTCCCATGACCAGCCAAGTACACAAGTGCAGACAGTTCTGTCTCCGACCCTCCTCTTCGTTGATTTACACAGCTCTAGTTCAAACCATGGTTGCCTCTTACTGGAATTTTTGTTATTGGACTCCCTGGTTCTAGATTTGTTTGTTTATATCTTTATTGTAGTACTTTTTAGAGTTTGCTTTAGGATATGTCCAAGGTTTTCACCTGATTTATTCTTTCTTTAGGATTTTTTGTTCTTAGAGAAAGTGAGATTACTGACCAGGGGTATAAAGGTTTTTAAGGCTCCTTTGCCATTGTCAAATGTGCAAGTGGCAGCTGCCAGCCCTGATCACCCCTGAGGTCTTCTCCACCTTCTCCTGCTCCTGAGGGGCAATCGGGGCAGTAGCTGCTGCTTGCACCTGCCGCTGGTGCCAGCACCAATCACTTTGTGCCATTAGTGGGTGCAAGTGGAGCCGGTGCTGTTAGCATGTGGGAGCGGCGGCAGCGGGAATGGGGCTGCCAGCAGACAGGACTGGGGATAAGGGGAATGGTGTAGTGGGGGGACCCAGGGGAAGGGGGCGGTGATGAGTGGGTAGCTTGTTGTAGGTGGCAGGAACCGGCATCAGGTGTCTAATCAGTAGGGTCAAACCAAACCTGGGTTTAGGAACCTTAGTACTTTGGTTCTGGCTAGAAAAGCATTCAGAGACCAGACCCAAACTTTATTTATTTATTTATTTATTTATTTATTTATTTATTTATTTATTTATTTTTTCAGACCCAAACTTTAAGAGAACATTTATTGGGTAAATTACTGAGGTAGAAAAGTAATTCCTAGAAGAAATGGGCTTACGAAACAAGTTGTAGAGGTAAAGGAAGGGCCCTGGAGCTTGGGAGTGAGGAAACTAAGAGTAATATGCCTGGGGCCTGGAGGGGACAGGCCAGGAAAGGGAAAGGCAGGGACATGCTCCCTGGAGGGAGGGCACTCTGAGTCCTCTGTCCTAAGTGTTTTCAGGGCAGAGATTTTAGGGGAAGTCCCGGGAAGAGATCTTAATAGGATACTCAGCAGTTTTCCAAGGTGTGCCCTGTCAGCGTTGTGGTCTCCACTGATTGACTAATCCTTACTCAATGCAGCTGGTCCTGATGTCATCCAGGGCTGGTTTTGTTGTTTGTCGGGGCCTGGCGCTGAAATACAACTGAGAAGTAGATGTTATCTCAGGGAGGAAAGGTCACAGGGTCCAAATTGCACGACCAGCATTGTAGTGTGGGATGAAAAGTCACCCTGAGGGTGAGGTCCCACCCTACCATTGATTGTCCATTGCTAGGCACCTGGGATTTCCATCCTGATGACCTTCCCACACATGACCCATTGTTCTTGCTCTACTAGGTCTGCCTAACTGTATACAGCTTACCTAGAGATTTGTCAATTTTATTGATCTTTTTAAAGAACCAGCTTTTGGTTTCATTGTCTTTTCTCTTTTTATATTTTTTTCTGTTTTGAATTTTTAGGCTTCTGTTTATTTTCTTCTGGTAGCCTTAGGCTTAAACTGGTCTTCTATATATGGTTTCCTAAGGTGGAAGCTTAGGTTATTGATTTCAGATCTTTCTTATTTTCTAATATGAGCATTTAATGCTATAAATTTTCCTCGATAAGTTTTCCTTTTGCTGCACCCCACAAATGTTGATGTTAATTAAAGTTTCAGTTAAAAAAATTTTGTTTTCACGTTCAAAATATTTTTAAATTTCTCTTGAGATTTTAATTTCCAGATATCTGAGGGGTTTTTTTGTTATTGGTTTCTAGTTTAATTTCATTGTGTCTAAGAACATCCTTTGTGTGATTTCCAATCTTTTATGCCCGTTAAAGTGTTTTATGGCCCAGAGTGTGGGCTGCAGGGTGCGTGTGGGCTAGAGAAGAATGTGAGTTTTACTGTTGTTCTGGTGGTAAGGTTCTGTCATCTCCCAATTAAGTCTCAGCCTGTGTCCTTCACAAGGGTTCGCCCAAGGGGTAGCTTTTCTTCCTTGTAACCTACTCTCTTTCCTAGCTGCAGAGTTCCCTATAAGGTAGGGCTGGGAAACCTTTTTTCTGCCAAGGGCTACTTATCCACGTAATATAATTCACTTGATATAAATTTGTGTTGCAATGAAAAAAGCTCCTAGATTTATTGAGTTGCGAGTCCTGCCTGCAGTTGCATTGGCAGGGCCAGACCAGCCATTTTTATGGAGAAGGCTCTGGGCTTGTTTCACAGTGGTTACTCCCTCTCCTTCCAGATTCACCAGAGGATCTTTCTGGGATCTTTGCCTTCACCTTAAGGACCTGGTGCGGTTCCTGGAGGTAAAGCCTACAGAAGTGTGCCAGCCCCCAGAACCTCATTCCTGGAGTTTGTAACTCATGCTCGTTCTCACCCAGCTCCAGCCCAAGTTTATGGCTCCAGCAGCTTTTGCTCCAGGTAAGTAGATCTCAGCTGTCTCTCTCCAGGTTTAGGTGGCAGTTTGCCCTGTAACTTCAGTTCTCTGATGGGTCCAAAAGTGTTACTAATTTTTGATTTGTCCAGCTTCTCTTGTTCTAAGAATGGGAGAGGGCTTCTAAGCCAAAGTTATCCCCCCTTTTTTAAATTAAATAAGTTTTTAATGTATTTTCAAGTTATAGTTTTCTAGAGGCCCAATACATGAAGATTCATGCAAGAATAGGTCTTCCTTTCCCTGGCTGCTGGCACCTGGGACCTGGGCCTTCACTCTGGCTGCTGCCTTCTGCCTTTGCTCCAGCCCAAAGCCGCCTTCTGCCTTTGTGCACTGCCCAGGGGCCCAGAGCAGCCAGGGTGGGGTGGAACACCTGCATTGTTGCCATGGCAACGATGCAAACATCCTGGCCTGGCTGCCACCATCTTTGCCACATCAATTTGCATATTTCCTCCTTATTGGCTGTGGGTGCCACCATCTTTGTTGCGAAGTGACAGTTTTCATATTCCATCGTTATTAGATAGGATATACATTATTATATTCATTCTAGGTATCTTACCTATTAATAGACAATCATGTAAAATAACTGTACCTCCGCTACGCCCACAGCCAATTAGAGTGAGTATGCAAATTAGAAGGCCAAAGATGGCGGCTGCCCAGCTGCTCCAGGCGTGGAGTGGCCAGGAGGGGCGGGATGCCTGTTATGAGAGGGAGGGCCAGGAACAGAGGGATCTGCAGGAACGGAGTGCCTCAGCGAAGATAAAACTGCAGACTCCGGAGTCTGCAAGAAGACGAAGATGGCAGACTCAGGCCAGAGTCTGCAGCGAAGCAGCGAAGATGATCCCGCTGGAATCTGCAGCGAGGATGAAAATAGCAGACTCTGGCCAGAGTCTGTAGCAAAGACAAAGAAGGCAGACTCTGGCCGGAGCGAAAGCCTGGGTCCCGGGTGCCAGAGAAAAACCTGTGCTGGAAGCTGAGGGAAGGAAGGCCTATTACTAGTATAATATAGTGATTAGATGTTTATATACCGTATGAAGTGTGGACCAAAAAAAGGGAGTTCTGTGGAAAGTAACCACAAGGGTTATCTGGTCATAAATTCCTAACTGGACAGGTCATGGTAGGAGTAATCATGTCCCAGAAATATAACGGTAAGGGGTTTATCTTTGCTATAAGCAAGGCCAACATTGCTTTTTGTATATAGGTTCACAAACCTTTGAAATGCCTCTTTTTAGACCCATCCTTCTTTTTTTTATAGACCCATCCTTCTAATGCATGAGCCACTCATTACAACAAGACTTAACCACTCGAGAGAGAGAGCAAATAATCTTAACTATCTTATAGTCCAATCACTGTATGCCTTGCTTTCTCCCACCTTCACATAATGTTCCTTGTTCCCTCCTTAATTTTAGATGCATAAAAGAAGCTGCAGCCCTAGCCAGTTTGGCTCAGTGAATAGAGCATCATCCTGTTGACTGAATGGTTCTGGGTTTGATTCCAATTAAGGGCACAAATTGAGTTGTAGGTTCAATCCCCAGTAAGAGGGCGTGCAGGTGGCAGCCAATCAATGATTCCCTCTCATCATTGATGCTTCTGTCTCTCCCTTCCCTTCTTCTCTGAAATCAATAAAAAAAAATATATTTTTAAAAATGGGTTTGTAGCTTCTTTTATGCATTTGGAATTAAGGAGGGGACATCAGGAAGATTGTATGAAAGGAGAAAAAAGGCAGGGACTGGATTATAGGAAAGTTACGATTGAGTTCTCTTGAGGGTGATCACCCTCTTTAGATGTACTGTGGGTTTAATCCCCTTTTTGTGGGCAGAATGAGAACAAGAGATATTAGCTTTCATAATTTTGGGGTTCCTAAGTGTTTTCATATTGTTTATTTTATGGAGGCTGGCTAATCAACAGAGTTTTTGGAATTAAAAATTTTTTTTAATTAAATCTTCATTGTTGAAAGTATTACATATATCTCCCCTTTTCCCCCATTGACCTTTTCTAGCCCGCCCCACGCTTGTTGTGTCCATGGGTTATGCATATATACATACAAATTCTTTGATCTCTTCCCTCCCATCTACTCTCCCTCCTCCACTTTCCCTCTGAGGTCCCAGAGTCTGTTCTGTGCTTCTATGTCTCTGGATCTATTTTGTTCATCAGTTTATTTTGTTCATTAGTTTCCACATGTGAGTGAGATCATGTGATACCTATCTTTCTCTCACTGGCTTATTCTGCTTAGCTCAGTACTCTCCAGGTCCCTCGAACCTGTCTCAAAGGGTAAGAGATTCTTTTTTTACTGCTGCAGCGTATCCCATGGTATAAATGTACCACAGCTTTTTTATCCACTCGTCTACCGATGGGCCCTGGGGCTGTTTCCAGATCTTAGCTATTGTACATTGTGCTGCTGTCAACATAGGGTGCATGCATCCTTTCTGAATGGTGTCTGGTTTTCTTTAGGATGTATTCCTAGAAGTGGGATCACTGGGTCAGATGATTTCTTTAGGTGAGGGACACGCCCTGTTACTTCCTCTGCTCTTATGTTTTCTCTCTTTTCCTCATTTATCTGGGTGGTGTCTTCTGGTTTCATTTGATTTTATGACCCCTCTGTTGACATACTATGAGCTGTTTTGTATAGATAAACGGAGGTGCAGTCAGGGCATTTCCTTGAGTGGCATGGGGTCAGAAATGAGTTATTAAAATATGGCATACCAATAAAGCAGATTAAATATTTTAGTAGAATGTATGATTAGAAAGATCTGCGATCTAAGGATTCCATGAAGTAAGTGTTTATGTCCTCTCCTTGTCTTAACCAGGGAGAGCTTCTCCTTTCTGCTTGTGCATTTGATCAGACATGGTATTAAAGAGTAGTGGTTAGCCTCTCCCAGCCCATATTCACTGACCAAGTAGATATCCCAGGTTTGGTTATTTTAGGTGCTTTGTCATGTTTTAGTTTTTTTTTTTGTTTTTTTTTTTTTTTTAAGCATTTAATTAATTTTGCTTCTTTCTCCCATCAATATCAGCATGCAGTTTTCCTTTGCATTTGAGTTATAAAATAGAGACACTATGTAGGTTTATGTTCTCCTTAGATTTTCTTAGAGGAGATTCATAAGGGTTGATTATTTTTGGAGAGCATATAATGTCTGGAATTTGCTCTGAACCTTTTCTAATTCAGTAATCTCTTATTTGTAATTATGAAACATGTTGGTGGCAATATTTTCTTCTAGTCTTACAGGGTAGGTAACAAATGAGAAAAAATAATGTGTGCTTTTGTGTTGTCATCACCTGGTAATTTCACAGGGGTATTTAGGAAGGGCACTGTCGTAAATCAGTATTTGTACCCACATGACTGTAGCTGAATTAAAATCCAAATGTGTCTCTTTTATGGAAAATCCTGACAATTGTTTTCTGTTTGACAATTTGGAATAGAGAGTATCCTGATGAGAAAATAGCTGGAACTACTCAAAGGTAAAAATGTAACATTTAAAGGTAGATATTTTAAACTTCATTAAATATTATAAAAATTATTTTGTACTAAAGGAAAACGATCGCTTTCTTGTTTAGAGTCTTGTATTAAAAAAAAGGTGAACAGTGAAAGGCACACGGATTTCAAACTAGTTAGTGGTTCATAGAAGAAAAACAGTTTTTCAAATTATGCTTTTCATTGTTCAGATTTTATTCTTAAATTTTTGACAAATTAATGGGATTAAAATATTTCCTTTTAGCTAAAATCCCCATTTGTTTCTGAGATTCAAACCTTAGCATTTAATCCTCTTTAATCTGTTCTTATATTTTTTAAGTTGGGAAGTTTTTTCCTAAGAATTTTTTTGCCTTGATTGTTAAAGACATAAATATGTTCTTTGTAGAAAATGTTTTAAGTAAAGCAAAGTAACTAGAAAAGTACCCATAATACCACTAACCTGAGTTCATTGAATTTATTTTCCAGTAAGTGCTGATAGTGGTATAATGTTTTATAACTAATATAGAGAGATTAAAAATAAGTAGTAGAATTTACAGCAAAACCTTAATAGTGGTGAGATTTCAGGTGGTTGTTAATTTTTAACTTTCTGCTTACCCGTAATTTCTGATTTTTATTTTTTTTTAAGTGTGATAGAGCCTAAAATACAAATCCCCAGCACCTTTCATGGTGTCCGGCATATAGAGCTTGTACTGTGGTAAATATTAGCCTTTCCTTTAGGATTATTTCATTATTTTTCAGAAGAAAAATGTTGGCTTCTTCAGTATATTTAATAGACTATAGGGATTAAATATACTGGAAGACTGATGGAATGATTTAAAGCAGTGGTTGCCAACCTTTGGACCTCGCAGACCACCTGTTGGCAGCCTCTGATTTAAAGTATCCTGTATAGAGTGACATTGCATAACCTGAATTGTCTCAGTGGACATGACATAATTTAACTATTTATGGAGCATAATTTAGTAGCTGGTGTATGCTGCATTCTTTGTTAAGACAGACTAACTGTGAAAAGCATCTTGAAATGGGTCTTAGCTCAGACTGTTGTGCTGTTGAGAAATACCCTCACTCTAAACTGATAGTGATGCAGGGCTTTAAATTGACTGAGATCTCATGACACTTTAGACTTCTGTGACCTAGTGTGCCACGGCACATTTTCTATATAACAACAGTAGATGCTAACATTAGCAATAATAAGTTTGGTTTTCAGGTGTGTATAGACAAATTGTTCTTAGGACATCTCTGGTTCCTGTATCTGGAAAGGATATATCACTAGTTTACCTCTCCACAGTCTGAGTATTGGCAGCTCATTTTCCAGCCGCAGCACTCAGTCTTTCCAGATCACTCTCTTAGGTAACATGATTTCAGCAATTATTCAGCCACATCAGGACCTCTAATCCATTAGCCCATCCGTAGTTTTCATCCTGCTCCATTCTTCCACCTTTTACATTTCTCTTTGCTGGCTTTGCCCTGTGGTCTGTCATTCTAATCAGCACATTGCACATACCTCTCCTCATTCTTCTG